AATCATATACATATGCCAAGGATCAAGTATGTGTCTCACCAGACTTCACACATGTTCCAAAGAATACATATATGTCCCGAAGGACCACATAGACCCTCTACCCTTGGCATGCCAACTATACCTATAGTTCTCATTTACATAACATGGGCTTTCACAATTTATCTAATTCATATCACGTAGACATATTATTTCCATACCTTTATCATATAACTCATATAACTTTTCTTTCATATTCATGTCCCATAATGCATATGGTATGGATTCATGTCATATATCATCATATGAACTACGATCATGTATCAAAATATTGAATCTAGACTTATCACAAGTCTAGAACTGAATAAAATACATATTCATGCTATGCATATGCACTCACCTAGATTTCTTTGTTTTTCCCTCGATTGATCCTACTTGTCGATGGTTTCGGAACTCGATTAGGCTCAATATCTACATAAGCAAAATTTTCAAGATGATTATCAGATGCCTAAGTCTTGAAATTAACCTCTAATAGCCTACCAATTTAAGGAATTGATAGTTTAGTCTCTCTTCTTTCTTTTCTTTTCTTTTTTTATTATGGGGGAATCGGTTCCCCTCTGGGGGTATTGATTCCCCTCTAGCGTTCTGGAAATTCATATTCGTTTGAGGGGGTATCGATTCCCCTTGAATGGGTATCGATTCCCCTAGCCCAGAAATCCTATTTTGAGCTCGAAATTCACTTCATTTCAGTTTAAACCTTCATATTTTACTTCCTTTAATATTCCTAACTTCCATACACATATTTAAACTCATTTCTATTCCATAATCACTTCTTTAAACCCAAAATTCCATCATTTACATGGCATTCAAGAATCACACTAAATTTTCAAGGTGTTCTAATTCCAATTCTAACACTTCATATCCCTTAATTAACTTGATGACAAGTCAAATCTCACTTCCAATTCTTATTATGAACTCTAATATAAGATTTCACTTTTCTACTTCCTTTCTTTAATTCTTCATATACTTCTCCTCTTGAGGTTTTAAAACAATTTAAACTTCCTTTAAGCTTAACTATTGCATAATGGTCATGAATCAACCATAAATTCATCAAGAAATTCACTAACAAGAAAATCTTACCTTAGCTTGGGTCTCACGTATGAAGAAGAAGAAAGAAGAAGATGACTCTGGAAGCTTGTTTTAATTTCCTACTTTTCCACGTGCTTAATATAATACTAACCCCAAAATTATATTGCTATAAAAAGACCATTTTGTCCTTCTAATCTTCATTCTTTATAATTCAATCCTACACAAAATAACTCAAATAAGTCATTGAACTCTTCCATCATTCTACTTAAATCACCAAATGCTGAAACTTTACAAATTAATCACTAACGGCATGGAGGATGTTACATAGTGGGTGGGCAGATGTGGTCTCAAACCCATCACTTACCCACTATCCACGACGAGTATCACTTTTTACATCCACATTCGCTTACTACCCACTAAACGTATACCTATCTCCGCCCCAATTGGACCAAATGTGATGCGAAATTCACTATATGAGTTTGTCATCCTAATTCCATGAGATAAATTCATCCATTATTTTTTCCTTCAAATTGTATATTATAAGGTGAGAAAGGGTAAAAATTTTCATATAATGTATTAGGAAGAATAATATCTTAAATAGGGTGTTGGAGATTTTTTTTTACCTAGGGCGTTTGTTACTATATAAGAAGATACGAAAAGCACATAGTGTATTTGGAAAGACGCACGAAAGAAACGACGTCTTTGGAAAAGACATATGGAAGACACACATCTTCTTCATTGTTATATATAATTTGATGAGTTGTAAAATTCAGAAGTCGTTAAATTGTTTAGATATCTTTTAGAGGTCGTTAGATAATTGAGACGTTTTAAAAAAAACGTGTGTTCCTACTTTTTTTTATATTATAGCAAATACCTTAATTGGGAAATACATATTCCATCATCCCATGATTCGATTTTTTTTCCTTTTACTGCATTATCTAGAGAATTTTGCTGGAGAAAAAGAACTAAGGACATGACAATTAAAGCATGCTGGGGAGGAACTTTTTGCGACAATGGTAATGTAGGTCCTTAAAAGTCTAAACATTAATTCAATTAAATCTTTATTTTTAATTTTAGGGTAATCTATGGCAAATATCGCTCATCTTTAAGCTCGGGCTTGAAAATGTCATCGACGTTTCAATTTTGCTAATTTTAGCACGAATGTTTATGTTTCACTGCAATTTTTCCACTCCGCCGTTAATCCGTTAACGGGATGATGACATGACATCTTTTTTCCGTGACGGAAATGACATGGCACCCTTATTAAAACGATGTTGTTTTGGCACTACCGTTTTGATGCTCAAAAAGCTCAAAACGATGTCGTTTTGTTGATGAAAAATATGTTTTTCATGGGATTCGAACTGTAGACCTTTAGAATCCAAATCTAAATACCTAACCACCAAGCTAACTTAAGAACTTAGTATACCCTTAACAAAACTATTACAAATGGCATCGCTACCACCGTCACCCTCGTTATCTTCTCTTAAGAACTTCACTTTGATTACACTGATATAAAAGATCCATCCATGTTCCTGTTTTGGCCAAGTCTTTTCTAACTACCTGGTATAAAGTATGAGGTAGCGGCAATGGGAGCACATGCCAATAAACTCTTTGTTGAATCTCTTTAATGGTATTTTTCAAGTTCTGAAGAGGATGAATATTCGTTTTAACGAATGACATGTCGGGGGAACCAAAATAGTACGAACAAACCTCGATGAGAACTTCGTTAATGCAGTCGAAGAGCAGTTTCTTGTCATGACAAAGTTGGTTGGGTAAGTATTCTACCTCATCAAGCAACAGAGGGTCGAGAAACTGGTCCGAAGAAAGCGACCTAAAGTAGAGTTCATCCCAGTCGAAACTCGAGGCTTGCAACACATCCTTTATGTGCTCAAATATTGATTCCTTATCATGCATGCAAGTTTTAAAACTACCACTGTGATTTGCTGATGAACCATGTTCTTCGAATCAAATTCTTAGCGATTGTATGGATGTTTCACTTGAAGATCAGTGCAAAAATCGACATTATCCGGATTGTATCACAACAAAGTTAAATACAAATGCATAACATGAAAAAGGAAAAATAAAAGGATTTCTCATGTCTACCAAAAATAGATCTGAAGCTAGCGGGGCTGATAACATCATCTGCGAATATCGGCTCAAGAACAGATATGGGACTCGGCCTCTCATATATATAACTAACACTCTGTACACCTTCGACTTTTTGGTGACCGGTGAATTCGTTGGAGAATTTGATATCGGCGCATGAAGCCTCTATTGATTTCTTTGTAGTCGGTGGTGATATCAGTGTAACCAAAGTGAAGTTCTTAAGAGAAGATAATGAGGAAGATAATGAGGGTGACGGTGGTAGCGATGCCATTTATAATAGTTTTGTTAAGGTTATACCAAGTTCTTAAGTTAGCTCGGTGGTTGGGTATTTAGATTTAGATTTTAAAGGTCTACGGTTCGAATCTCATGAAAAACATATTTTTCATCAACAAAACGACGTCGTTTTGATGAGGATGCCATGTCATTGTCCCGTTAACGGATTAACGGCGGAGTGGCAAAATTGCAGTGAAACATAAACGTCCGTGTTAAAATTGGCTAAATTGAAACGTCGATAGCATTTTCGAGCCCGAGCTTAAAGATGAGTGATATTTGACATAGATTACCCTTAATTTTAATTTTATTAAATTTTTGTAATTTTAAAATATAATTTCCGATAGCCACACAGATATCTCATGTTTTCATTTTAATTATTTTTCCTATATCATTTTGTATCTTAGATTTCCAGTCATTTTTTAGTAACAACCAAGTGCTAGGATTCAGTCACTTCAGCCAATATTATTTCATGCTTGCTTGCGTTTGCTAAACACTTCAATAAAAGTTAAACTTTTAAAATATCAAATGAGGCTTAATCTTTTTAAACCTGGTTAAATAAAGTGTAACATTTCACTGTCGAAAAATAATCTTATGTTTTCAAATAAACTCAAATAAGGTCTAATGTTTTTAAATTTGATTAAATAATCATTAATTTAATTAAATATAATGACGTGATATATATAGTTTTTGCATATTAATAAATTTAAATCTTAACGTTTTATCACTTTTGTCACATTAGCACTCAACCTTCAAATTTCAGTCGATTTGTTATTTTTTTTTGATAAATTAATAATTTAACTGTTAAAATTTTAATAATATTGATGTGATAATTTGTGTGGTAATCCATGTATACTACATTACTTCATTTGATAATTTGTTAGAAAATACTTGATATATTAAAATTGTAATAAATTTTATGGTTTTTGAAGTACATATAGATCGTGAAACGAATTATCATATTACCAACGAATTATCATATTATCAACGAAGTTGGTTCAAGTAACAAGCAGTTTGAATCCGTTTAAACATGTCTCAAGTTTGAGTCATTGTAAATGCATAAATCTCTTCTAAGATATTCACCCACCAAAATCAGGTGTGTGACCCGGGCTAACTTTAAATTGATAATTTAATCGATGAACTTAATAAAACTACGTGCTATAATGGAAAAATAATTTTATAATTTTCAATAATTGTGGAACTTAACAAAACAATATTTAATAAATAAAGATTATTTGTGTAGTTTATTCATTAAATAAATACTATTTATATCTTATTAAATTTATCCTTAAATTTTTTAAAAATAAAAGATTTTAAATTATGATTATGATTATAATTATATTAAATATTTTAAAAATTATTTTTTTATTAAATATTTCTAACATATACTTTTTTTCATATTTTTATCAGTAATAAATTTTAAAAATTAATAAATTAAAATTAAAAATCTAGCTAAAAATTAATAAGTGACGGGAAAATATATATTTTATCTTTTATATTAATATAATATTGGACCAAATTAAGAATGTATGACCTAAATTGCTTTGCCATTTGGTTCATTTACCTCCTGCATTTCAAGCACTCCACAAAGCTTGGCGCGATCTTCTATTTCGCAAAAGGTAAGCTCTCCCTCCCCCAAATCTTTCCGTTTGTTTCCTGAGAAAATGAAGGAAATCAATTCTTATTCTTTCTGCAACCATATTCTCCTGGGTTCTGCATCAATAGGAAAAGATACCAAGTATTAAAACATGAGGTTAAAGGGCGGTCTAGATGGGAAGAGTTTGAAGAATTGCTTTCAAATTCAGTAGCTCTGTTGGAATTATACTTAGTAACAAAATGACTCTTATCTGATCATTTCATTATTTTTTCTAGTTTTTTAAGCTCTCCGTTGAATAATTCTGAAAATTTTGTGTATTTTATTTACCGTCGAAAGTTGCTGGTATTAATTTTCCATATAAAATGGGTTCGGGATAAAACTTCCCTAGTTTAAAAGATGCAGGTTTATGCCTTTACTCAAGTCCTTTCATTATGAACTATGATCGAAAATTTTCTGCAATAAGTTTTTAACTATTGTCAAATAAATTGATAACCATTTATGGACGCTCCTGTTTATCAATGTATTTATAGAATTTGAAAGGTATTTATGTGATTGTGTCTTCTGAACTACGTGGTACTAGAATCTATTGAGTGATCTCGGTGATTAAAGGGACCTCTTGAGATCTTAGGTTCGAACAGTTGTGTCTGCATAGTGTTGTAAATGATTAAAAAAATTATGATCAGATACTAACTTATAATCATCCCATGTTATTAAAAGAAAATACTAACGAAGTTAACCCTTTTGCTAGACAAGTGGAAGGCTGATATGAAGTTTAAGGCATTTTTGACCGAGCATGGAGTGGGCCTCTTAGAAAAGAGGTTTCTACCTGCCTTAGACAAAATGGGCAAGATATGCCACTTATTTCTTACCCGAGACCATGCTATCTTTCTTCACAACCTTCTAAACGGCGATGGGGTTCAGTGCATTGCACAGTTTCGCAAGCAAGCTCTCTTTGATGACTATCGCATCTCGAGTCAGAACGAGGACCGCATTGCTTTTGCGATTGATGTATCCCTTTTGCTTCGTGCTGTTCGGAGTAGTGTAAGCATTTGTACTGAATTTGGTAACGGACCTACTGCCAACCGTCTCCAAATTAAGTTGGTCAAGAAGTTGCCCCTCAATTGTACTCAGCCGATGCCTTTTCTTACCTTTGAAACCAAGGGTTATAAGTCTGCTGTCGTTCAGGATGTACCAATATCGAAACCTTTGTCTAGGGCTGAAGTGCTTGAGCTTCAAACTGCACTTGATCTGGCACAAGATCTACCCCCGACTCTGGTTCAAGTTCCAGACTTGAGTCATTTACAGAACTTTGTGGAACGGATGAAGCATGTTGGGGATTTGTTGAATGTCTCTATAAGCAAGTATGGAGATCTACATGTGCAAATCTCAACGACTTTGATCACGCTCGGTGCCGAGTTTCGTAAATTGTTGGTTATTGGAGAACAAGCTGAAGCTCCTTCTGATGATAGGAATCTGAGTGCTCAGACTCGGTCAGAGAGGGCAATTTCGAGGGGAGACGCACAGCGTGTTCAAGTGAGTGTAAAGCACTTTTCTAGGAGCCTCCAGTGTCACCTGGCAAAGCCGGACTGTACTTTTTACGGGATTGCATTGCAGGGCTCTTGTCTGACCGTGATATTTCAGTTCTTCATTCCTGGTACGCATCAAACTGATAAATCAATCAGTCTACATTGTAGGCTTCCTGTGCTTGACCCAGGGTCAAATTGAAACTTAATCAATTTGCCATAACTGGCTGCTTTACTACTTTGAATTGATCGTATATTTAACGTTTTTTTTAAACTCAAAACTAGTCATTTTCAAGTACAACTTATTCCATTGAACCATTATATATCTCAGAGAACTTCTTAGTCATATGAAACATATGTTACAATAACAAAGCACTTTTAGAATTGGTAGAATATTTCAAGTAGCAAAAAATGGTTTTAGCATTTGTCAATTCTAAGAATATGTGGATTGTATCAGAAGCAAATAGGAACAGTATAAAATATGTAAACAACAGAGACGAGGGGAAGAGGAAGAAGAGCAGCAAGTAACCTATTGTATAATGTAAAAGGTTACAGAAAACAAAACCAGCATTTTCTTCTCTTCATGGGTACATTGAAAAATGTTTCAGGTGGAATGGAATGATATTCATCCCATCATCAACAACCTCAACACCAAATATATTAGCTTAGACCCATAACTTATTCAATAAACACAATTCCCCGGAAACTTTTCTACTCCATTATATCTTATGGCTCTCCTTCACAAGATCATATTTACAGAATGGCAAACCATAAGTTCAGTTACGCCTTTGAAGTCGATTAAAACGAAATTCAATTTTACTTTCCGATCACGTCATTATTCTCACATGTGGATGGTCAGATCAATATTATTAATTATCATATCAGTATCATAATAATCAATATTAGTTAAAGACCAAAATTGACGAAATAAAATGACGACAGAATTTGATGTTTCTAGAAAGTATGGAACAATTTATTGATTTGGGTTTAGTTCAAAGACAGAATGAACCCTTGAACTTTTTAACTAATAAATTAATATCATCCGGTAAGAATGATGAGATGGATTATTCAAGTTTGATCTTGGGGTTTTTACCTAAAATCATTAATCATATCAGTATTGTTGATACATGATTCAAATAGACTCACTTGATTTTAGATATAATTAGAATGACCAAACTGATATACATGGCTTATTCAAGTTGATTTTAGGGTTTTTACCTTAATTTTATTTTATAATCTTTAGCTCTATATAGGGTGAAATGTGATACAACTTCATGGATTGAGCGGATTTAAAAAGGATTCATGCTGAAAATTGGGTCAAAGAACCCCAAAACAGGAAAAAAAAGTTCCGCTTCCAATGGTTTTCAACCAGTCTAATTGGTTCAAGTTTCCAATTGTATAGCGTTTTAGTTGAGATTCAATTTGATTTTCGTGACTAAAATGTTGAACTAACCGATTCATACACACTAATATATTCATGTTGCGTTTATCATTTATCGTAATGATTTAATTGTTAAATCTAAATTCATCTTGACAAGAATTACATCATTGTGTTTAGTGTATATTAATATAATTATCGTAACTATTGTTATAATGTCTACTCCAAATTCTTAAAACACACATATATATATATATATATATATGACAAGACTCTTACACAATGTAAAAATATTATTTTACATTAATTTAGGATCGTTAAATGAATGAAAATAAACGGTTAAAGTTATCTCTTTATTTCTTTTTATAGTGCATATCTTCTCCTTTTCAGCGTCTATTTTCACACATCAAACCATTCAAAATCAATATAAAAAATTAATTTTAAATTATATAAGTGGATCATACCATTATATATATATATATATATATATATATAATAACCTTAAGATATAAAATCGTGATAATAGATGCTGAAAACGATCCGATTTATTTAGAAAACATGATCATCTCTGTTAAATACTCAAATATAGAGAAATAAATACCATCATCTTTCTTACTAATAAAAGGTGAATCAAACTTTCATACTAACAAGGTACATCTAAATATGATAATTAGAAGAAGAAGAAGAAAGCAATCAAGGAAGCTTCGTTATAAACCTCTTACCTTAAAAGAGAAATGTGCCTTAATCCATGACTCATCATCAAGTGTCTTACCCGAAAGGACTGGGGATTCTTTCGTTGCCCACAATACTTTAACCGTACACCTCAACAAGAAGCGTCGAGTGAACTTACAAGTAGACCATCAAAGTAGCCGATAAATGTTGCTTATTCCCCACCTCCAAACATCCCCATCATGTCTTTGCTCGAACCCATTTGTTTCATCAAGTTCTGCAAGCCACCCATACCTCCGATCTGCTTAAGCATCTGAGGCGGGAGAACCTTGCTCATGTGCTGCGCATTCATGTTGCGCGACAAGGCACTCATTTCACCCTTCTTCGGGATTTTAAGCCCCTTCATCTTACTCCATAACTTAGCTAGTCGTTTGTATTCCTCCATCATTTCCATTACCTCTCGAATATGACGACCGGATCCCCTTGCTATCCGCATCATCCTTGACTCGTTCATGAGCTTCGGGTTTGAACTGTCTAACTCTGCAACAAATAAACAATCGATAATAAATGAAAAGCCAGTGATTCTTTTAAAATACTATACTCCAGTAATATACTGTCTCAAGAAATTGAATAAAGCAGAACATTTGCTTGCCTTCATTCGTCATTGAGTCCATCATGGTCATATAACGTTTGATCTTTGCCTGGCTTTCTTTTTCACGACCTTTCGGCATCAGTTCAGAACTAAATCCTGGAAGCATTGAGAAAACCTGCAGAAAAGCAAAAGCAAAACAAAATTATTAGCTTAAAATGTTCTCATGCAAATCAACAACTCAACTGTATTGAAAAAAGGAACAAAGAAGACATTTGGATGATAGGGGTTTTCCATGGGGGAGAGAACCATTATCCACCAAAACCCTGAATTAGAGCTTTACTTTTGCTTTTCTTCTTTCCTTTTTTTTTGGCTTAACAGGAAAGGAAAGACTTCACTACAACAATATTGATGTTTTCTCAACACAGAAACAAGATAGAAACAACTGGACCTTCTTAAGACTAATTTTCCCAGGAAATCACTCGTATAGTTTATCAGAATGTAAAATTCATACCAGATAAAGAGGCAACAGTTGCAGCATTAAGGAACAAACTAGGATATCGATACATGGAGGGGAGTGCCACCTCTTTCATATAGTTTTATATGTTAGGAGTGCAATAACCTTTCATTGAAGCTTATAATATAATTATCATGCAAAAATCTTCTCTCTTATTACATAATATCTATATCTATTCCACAAAGGTTGTCCTATAGTCTAACCTAAGGTGTCACCTATAGAGCAAGAATTACTTTTATTAATATGCATCTCTGAGAATCTAAGACCCGTAAACAACCCAAATAAATATTCAGTCATCAGATTTCACATATATGAACAACAAGGCAACATGGAAAAATTATGAAAAGCTACAACTGTTAAAACAAAACACTAGTAGTTAAGAATAACCTGCCCAATTGGACCCATTTTGAGTATGTTCTGAAATTGTTCATACATAATCCTTAAGGTAAAGGTCCCTTCTGAAAGCTTTTGGAGAAGCTCAGGTTGTTGATCCATGGGAACAACTTCATGAATTTTGTCCATGAATCCGGACAAGTCACCCATTCCTATTCAGAAACATAAACACCATGATAATGTTTCAAACAATCATCATCATTCTGGAATTCATTTCTTTGGTTAGAAGAACACATAAAAAACAATAAAAAAAGATGCATACCTAAAAGGCGGCTTACAAATGGTTTAACATCAAAAACCTCAAACTCATCCATGTGCTCCCCAGTCCCGATAAATATGACAGGACTCTTAGTTGCAGCAACCCTGGTACAAACCACAGAAAGAGAAAAGCAAGAAACCTACATATCATCAGACCTCAGCTTAATGATAAAGAAAATGAAGATATTATCTTGAGTATATATACAAGTGAAGGCAGCAAGCACAGTACTTACGCACTGAGAGCACCACCACCCTTTGCATGACCATCCATTTTAGTAACAATTACAGCCCCAACTGCAACGCTTTGTTTAAATGCTTGAGCTTGATCAAAGGCGGCTTGACCTATACTACTATCCATGACAAAAATAACAAGGTCCGGTTTCTGGAGCATACAGAAGAAGTAAAAAATCATAAGTGTGAAGATTAGCATCAATTATGCTGAGAATAAATGAATATCTCAAATCTGAGCAATACCGTTGCTTCAGAGACTTGACGCATTTCCTCAAACAACGCAGCCTCCTGTTTATGGCGCCCACTGGTATCAACAATGATAAGATCACAATTTTCCTTCTTAAATCTCTCAACACCTTCCACAGCAATTTTCACAGGATCTGATTCCATGTAGCTGCAGATATACCAGGAAACATCATTTTATATAATCATGGGAAAACTTAAGCGATGAATACTTTCTCTAGAGTTAAAATACACATCAGGAATTATGACTATAAACCAACAGTATATATTTCCAGAAATAAAATGAAAGCAATTTAAATCCACCAGGAAGGATGGAATAAAGAGCATTTCATGCATATCAGACAATAACATGCTTAGGTGGATGCAATAAGAATATATAAAAATGTGTAGAGCATACATTATTTGGTCAAGAGATAGAAAAGAAAACTAGCTAAATACATGTCATGCTTCTCTATTATACCCTTTTAACATTTAAGAAACACTATTAATCAGCTACATGCCTTAAACCATTGTTGAAAATTAACTAGAGACAACATTATTCTCTTTTCACATCCTCATGTAAAGAACTTAAAGTAAAAAAAAAAACTACCATTATGTGAAACAAACAGTCAACCAGACTCCACATTTCCATACCACGAAAAATGAATGAAAAAAATACCTCCCATAAAACGGAATCTTAGCTTTAGTAGCATTTTGCTTCAATTGATCAAAAGCACCAGCTCTGAATGTATCAGCACAGACTAGAGCTGGTTTCCAACCTTTTTTCTGATGATAATATGCATATTTTGTACATGTAGTTGTTTTTCCAGACCCTGAAAATATTCATAAATAGATACCAACATATAAATTCAGGTCTTACATATAATGTTAACTGAGCAAAGCATTTGAATTTTGAAGTATAGCAAGAAGTTTGAGAAAAATAGGAGAAAGGCAGTTCTCAGGGCCATATGTACCATAAGTCAATCTTCATGAAGATGTAAAGAGAAAGCTTACCTTGTAAACCCACGAACATCACAACACTTGTTTTTCCTTTCTTAGGAGTGAAAGATGGCTTCCCAGGATCCAGCATCTTACAGAGCTCATTAAAAATTGCCTATAATGTAAAACAAATCCTTTTAAGAAACCAACTATCTATAATAGAAGTAAAGCTTGCATTAAACATTCTTCTTTAGTGAAGTATTAGATTAAAGATTTTCTATAGTATGAAAATGTTCACACACACACACACACACACACATATATATATATATGTATGTATCAGAATTTCTGGTAGTAAAGATGTGCGGGAAGAAAACTCAGAACTCCAAGAAATCTCATTAATTTAAGTAATGGATTAAGACACATAGTAGGATCAGGAGGAAATTCCCAAAATTAATTCAGTGGCTCACACTACTAAGATTAAAACGGATAAAAAACGTATTTCAACTTGAAAAGAATTCCAAATTCGAAGAGAAAATAGAAAGAAAAAAAAACGCCGAACTAATTCCTGGAAGAGAAATACCTGTTGGATGATTCTGCGCTTGTTATGACCGGCGGCTAGATCATCGAGATTGACTATCTTCTTGATATTAGTTTGCATATCACGAACGAGCTTGAATTGAACATCGGATTGAAGAAGGGCTCTGGTTATTTCGTTAAGGCATTCGTTTAAAACCTTCTCGTCGATTATGGTGGCATTGCTCATCTGCTGGATAGCCCGGGAGATGCTCCCTCCTAATTGCGCTAACACCATTTTCGGTTTCTGGAGGAAATCAAATGGGTGATACTTCTCTTCTTTATGAGGAAATTAGGGTTTTTTTTCTCTGAGAAATATATGAATCGATTGTTCAATCAATCTGATTCTGATTTGATGAAGGGGAAAAGAGAACGGAGTTGCGGTAATTCAAGTTATAAGGAAACGTAAACCGGAAAGTAACTGATTTGGGCTGAGTCCTGCGCCACCCAACCAACTCGTTAGGTTTAGGTTTTAGCCCGTTTGGTTTAGGCTTAGTTACACTACTATTAACAACCAATGGCCTAAACACCAATTCATCTTCAAAATTTACATTTTTGAAAGGGTAAATTATACTTACATGCCACTCAATTTTTAATAATATTATAAAATATATTATTTAATTTTAAAAAGTTTCAAACAAGTCACTTAATTAAGTGCGTAAGACATCAATATTTAGTTACAATTTAATTGTTACTGTTGATAAATATAATGATTTAATTGTAAATATAAAAAGTTAATTTTTGTTTTATTTTTAATGATAAGAGTGAATTTGGTGTGAGCATGGACCTTCGGGTTCATCCGCTCTACGTGAATTGTTTTGTACGACGTTAACACTTCGGTATATTTAGACCTATATCCTTACATAAGAAGTTTTGTATCGGTGTCGAGTCTCATGGCATTTATGTCAATTTATGGCCCATGTCATCTAGATATACCCTTTCTATAGTTTAATATAAGTGTCCTTAATGATGATTTATGATAATAGATGAAAAGCAAGCATGGCATGAGATATTGATGTACTCATGCATGATATACATACATATGTTATTGATGTTTCTACACATGATATATTTGCATGTTTTATTGATGGATTTAAGCATGATAACACAAACAAAGTATCATGATCAAGTGCACAATTATATATAAATGTTGCATCCTAGATCGAGTGAACTATTGCATGATGACTCTAAGAATACTAATATTGCTTATAATAATTAAATGATTAAGATAATATGATGAATTGAAATAAGAAAACCATGATATTAAATTAAAGATTATAAGAGTAAATACCTAATGCTTACAAGTTCATAACAGTCTCGTATGTTTATGTTTGTAAGATTCATGAAATGTAAGAGTAGATTTGTACCATTGAGTTTTGTAAACTCAATGTTCATATTGTTTCCGTTCTTAGGTTACAGATTTCATTAAATGTGATACACCATCGAAAGAGTCTCAATAGAATCCCATGAGATAAAAGTGGTAAATTGGGTAAATAAATTTAATCTAAATGGATAAAAAAATCCTATTAAGATAATGTAATTATGATAAGGTCTCGAAACTATGGCGAGGTTTTCTGTAACTTTATATGAGTGGGAGTTTAGGCTTGGTACAGGAGTGGCATGAATCATTGACTTAAATAATGATGTAACTAATTGATGATAAGATTAAAATTAATTACATATATTTTATCCTAATATAAGTTTGAATGGTCGCTCCACTTGTCATAAAATAGGGGTTAGAGTTTTCCCCCCGAAATTAATTGGACTAAGCTTTCAACCTTATTTTGAATTCTGGGGCTTAATTGGTTGAATCCAAATTCCGGAGGACTAAATACTATGTTAGAGGACAATTTCTGGACTAAAATGATTAGTGTGTTAAACTCTTGGGTTAAATTTGAAATTTTAAAAACTTTTGGGGCTAATTTGTAATATTGAGAAACCCTAAGGTCATTTCATCAATTCCCTAAGTTGAGAGTAAAATCTGAAACCCTGGAGAGCCTGCGAGCCTCTCCTCTTCAATTTTCCCATTTTCCTCTGTGACATTTGGACCTCATTATTTTGATTTTTTTTTCCTTTTAAAGAACCATGGTCAATCATAAAATTGATCCAAAATTTGTAGGTTTGACCTTAATTGGGTGACCAATTGTTATAATTTTTGGGCATTTTTTTGGCAATTTTGAAAGGTGTCCATATCCTAAACAAGTATGGAACATGAATGTCAAATGAAGTGGCGGTATGCAATAAGAAATTCATGCCAATGTATTAACTAAAATTTGAATAATGGCAATAGTACACAACTGTTTCTAATTCCCTCTTATTTTTATTCTTCAGTGCAAAACCAACAACTTGCAGTTAAGTTGACAGCATGGTATGTACGACAAGGCTGAAAGAATAGCTAGCAAAATGTTACCCAATCAAATTAAAGGTTGTCTTTTAGCCATTTAACAGCTCCATTTGCTATCGACCTGCAAAATCATCCCATTCTTTTATGGTCATCAAACCCGGAACCGAACAAGAAACTGCAAGGAAATATTGACCAAGAGAGATCTGGCTTGGATGATAAATCAAACAAACAGTTGAAAAAAGAATTAAATCTCATTGCAAGTTTCTCTTTATAACATCTATATATATATATATAGGAGCAGGCAGCACATGCATGAAGAAAATCGAGCCTGTGAGAACTCGTGCACACACGGAGAGTAAGAGAGATTACCCGGCAAAATTTTTTAGCTTCGTCCACGGATCACTCTCATCTGCTGCTTCTTCAGTTTTCTCTGCGTCAGTACCAGCATTACTTCCTGTAGCTTTGGCTGCACGAGTAAATATGCACATCAAATTCATGTAACTCAAAACAATAAACCACTAATATCCATGATTACCACATCATTGATCTTGAGAGACGTAATAGAAAGAAAACAACTCTTTGCATACAAAAGCCAGATTGGTAAAAGTGATATTTATTAAATAACAAATAAAAAGCCATTGCTTACTCGCGGGTTGAGTCCTTGGGCGAATTCGAGAGCGGCTGCCACTTGAATTACTCAGAGAGGCAAGTTCCTCAAGCAATTCTCGCTCTGTGGCACTGCAAATATAAGGAAGAATCAGCATGAAGTTGCTGAAAATAACTAATTTAGATAATTTCAAGTCGTTGAGGGAACAAGTTAGTCAATAATTGCCCAGGCCAGGCGAGATCATCATAATAAACCGCTGTAACTAGTAGACAAATTTCATAAAAAATATTATTAAGATTATTAGTTTAGGGTTTCTGCTAAAACACCTTAAATTTACCTAATATAATCGAATTTTCGGATATCCCATCATGAACTATTTTATGCAACCCCTTAAGAAGATTCAAAACCAAAAAGTGCAATTAAAAAAAAAATCCTAATATAGCACCAATGCACCATTCTCAACTTTGATTGGGCCATTAAAAAGAACGTGTTCTTTCCATCTAGGACTAAGACCCAATTTGCCATCATACAATAGGTCAATATTGAGTTTTGCAACTGCACTTAAATATCTCAAAATTGACCACTATACTTTCAATTTTGTTGATTTTTGGACAAAAATAATGGAATTGATAGGAATTTGCAAGTTGCAGCACCAAAGTACTCCAATTTCATCGTCTTTTATTATTAAAAAATCAAAATTTGAAAATATAATGGAAAATTCAATATTGAAATGCAATGGCAAAATATGTTGAATCATAGCATAGTGGCATTTGTATTACTTTTAACAATATATACACACACACACACTAGTCTAATTTAACAAGATGCAAAGATGTTTATTAATAATGAAAAATGGAGGAGCTACGAGATATTGACCTACAACTGAAGGTAAATATGGTCCTAAAGAAATATCTAAAAAACCACAGTCAAATGTTTAATTCACAACAGTTCGGCTATTCTATTTCCACATAATTAAATGCTAATGAAAATTAATCTCGTACCTAATTCTATTTGGTATGGTAACTTTGATTGTGAATAAATGATCGCCGCGTATAGATGGTTTGTTCAGCTTTGGTGCACCTTTTTTTGCAAGGACTAATACATCCCCCGGTTGAGTCCCTGGTGGGATCTGTAGGTCAGTTACCCCTTCCACTGTTTTCACCTGTTCTAGTGAAAAGGAGTCAAATATTTAATCAACGTTCTCCGGCTCTTCATTTTTCTTCAAGAACACAACACCCACATAAAAATCATATTTGAACATGAGTACAGTGATATGCAGATACAGCTAAGGAAACTGAAAACACTTGGGTGTGCGTGGCAAGGATGAGACTTCAAAGAGGAGTCTTTTTGGCATAATGACATATGCATCTGTCAGATTGAAGTTATTCCAGGTTATAGCACCTTGAGAATGTATTTCGTAATGTAAGGGATAACGGGTAAGAATAGGACAGCACATTGAATTATTGAAAAATAAAATACTGAAAACAATGTTCAGTCAAATAAGAACCAAATCAAAGAGAATCTGCAGATACAGGTGTTTACCGCATGCAAACTTACTCTGCAAAACCGTGCATGAATAAAAAAAATACATGTTTTTTTCCTCAAAACTTTAGCATTTAACTTATAAGAATTGATATGAAAAATAAAGCATCAAGGATTAAATGCATGAATATATATAGAGAGAGAGAGAGAACACTGAACTACCTTGACAACAGACCCCAGTATGGCATCAAGGTAACTAATGGACACCGTTGACAAAAGATTTATGCCATCTCTTTGAATTCCTGGGATCTCTTGAACATCTAGATATGCATAAAGATCCCCTGGAGGGCCCCTGCAAAAAAAAAACTTTTTATATTCAACAAGAGAAATAGGTAACAGAATTCAAAATAAATATAATAAAAAAATACTAGTTGAGAAGAAAAGGGAATAACATAAAGTGGAATGATTAAAAGGGACAATATAAGAACACTTCCGTGACAATCTGTAAATGATAACATGTGTGTGTGTGTGTGTGTCGATATTGAGTACAAGCAGTGGAATCATAGTACAGTTGCAAGAAGTTAAGCTCATTCCAACATAGTTAAAGAAAATGAAAATCACTATCGTCATAACTTAAAGCAAACTTCATAATTCTTGATTTGTAAGACTGGAAGTTCACCCATTAAGATTCGATATAACATAATTTAGCTGTCAGAATGTAAGATATAGTTTCGGTTTGTATTTTAATGTGTCCTTCAGGTAACCACCAGTTCTCTAAATTTACAATAAAGCCAATAAACTAATGTTACATCTACCAAGAAACCTAGGAGCAACTCTCATATCAGCCCACTATTGCTGATATAAATGAGCTTATATATTTTATAACCTACCTAGTTACTAGTATGATCGGAAAAAAATGTAACTTCAGAATGCAATCAGCTTAAAACAACAGAAGACATCATCAAGATTAGAGACACAAAAAAGGTCCATCTACATACCCCTTTGGTCCAGTATCACCCTCCCCTGCAACTCTGAGGATACTTCCTGCGCTAACCCCAGGAGGAACTTTGACCTTGATATTTTTCTTTACTCTTATACGTCCTTTACCAGAGCATTTCCGACAGTATTCAGAAATAATTTCACCGTCCCCAGCACAATTTGGACAAACAGAAACCTAACATGTTGCAATGGAGAAGCTATATAAGAAACATCTTATAACAAAATCACCACATAGATTCTGAGCAGAAATCAAGGTTGGAACTGCAAATTGTGAAAACAAAAAACAATTCATCAAATCATAATATTCAAACATTATTGCTTCCTAATCTCGCAGCCACATTAAAACCTGCCTACATCCAATACAAATATTATTAACGTTCAATGCCTCCTTTAATCTTTCTGTTCTGCCATGAAAACAGAGAAAAAAAACAGAAAAGAACAAGGTCCTGGCAGTTACTTCCTCTATGTTTATTGAGTCAAGTTCAACATTTGGAATCAATACAAATACAGCAATTTAAATGGCAGTAATACATTACATGAAAGCATCATCAGTTCTCTACTCATGGATTGAAAGGTTCATTGACAAGAATATCTCCGGAAACTATCTTGTAATCTTCAGAGGCTTTATCACTGTAGTCTTGGAATTTTAACACTCTCCTAGTATTTCTGAGTGGAAAGGAAGTACACATTTCTTTTGTACAAAACTGACCTTTGGAGTCAAACTCTCCATTTTCACCTCTTTTTTACACTATGGTTTTTTATTTGTTAGCATAAAATGTGACCAACTCAAGTACCAGAGAACCCACCTTCTTTCGACCATCCAGAGAATCCACCTCAATTTCAGCATTGGCTAAAATAAATGTTTATCAAGTAGATACTAGATAGTAAGTCATTTTAACAACTAAATGGAATGCCTACTACCACCAAGGAGCAGATCCTAAACGCAGTTAGGCATTTAAAACATAGAAAAATGCCAAGTTGGGAAATGTTTATGAAGGTGACCAAAAGTCCATTACACAAGAAAATTTCCAATTACCTGTGAAAACAAGCCAAAGGGTGTCTGCTCAGTCCTCATAACTTGACCCCTTCCACCACAAGTTGAGCATATCCTCTTTTTTGACCCAACCTTTGCTCCAGTTCCGAGACAAACTTCACATGTTTCTAAATGGGAAAGCTCAAATTCCTTTTCAGCTCCAAAAATAGCCTCCGAAAATTCTAAAGTAATGTTGTAACTGAGAATATTGGAATTATTAGAACATTGATTATAAAAGCCTTTGAACAAGGCTAATCTAACATAAACAATATTTCTTCATAACCAAATTTACAAGAAAGATTTGAAGCTTATCGAAAAGAAAGCACTTAGGCAAGTGATATATAATAGGATGGGATTTAACTAAATATTTTAGGTTTGACTTGTAGTATTCTTTCTTGTATTAAGAAAAATGAAAAGAACAGAGAGAAGCATGATTTGAGCATAAAATGAAAACAATCAAATACTGGGAATAGTGTGATCATAAAAGGTAAGAAAACAGTCAGCAAAAACAAGAAATGCTATAAAATAATAAACTCACTGAGCAAAAGATAAGTAAACAGTGTTAGATGAGGTCAGTCTCATAATTATAAACCAAAACAGAAGAATTGATGACTATATCAACCTTAGTAAACATACTAAACCAACCAGTCAATCAAAACTCACTATAAACAAAGTGAATGATCAAGAACCAGTAACAATCATCGAAACACCAAAGAAAGATCTCAACTTACCGTATATCATCACCTTTACTAACCGTACTTCGACGGCTTGTTCTGAATCCAGCTTGATCCATGCCTGGAAAACCACCCATACTTGGTCCAAAGAATGTTTCAAATAGATCAAAGGGATTAGTCTGCAGGAGAAGAAAACTAATGCCTGAGTTATACATAGACAGACAGATGTCTAGCATCACTGATGCTGCATAGGCTTATTGCATGCAAGGTAGTAGTACATAAAGCATCAATCATGACATTTTATGACATTTCACAAAAAAGATAGCTTGCACAACATTTATTTCTCATCTAATGTGAAACAATCGAAGTCTACATCTCCATAAAGGGGGGGGGGACCCTAACCATGCAACAAAAGGAATGTCACTGCTTAAAGGTAGAGAAAGATCATAAATTGGCAAGCAAAAATGAGATAATGACTCAGGCAGGCAATCTGATAAAAATGACTTTCTCACAATGATCAGTTGAATTCCAAATTCAAAGTGGCATTATTCTTATCCTCAGGCAACCCAGTATCTAGAAATAACCGACCAAAACACGACTTTCAATGAAATTGACAAGGCAAAGCATGTCTAGACTTCCAAGCATATGCCAGATATCCCTTGCTGCTATGATTTACAAGTACAAACTTAAAACGCACATAGACAAGAGTAAATGCATACAGTATAAGCACTGGACTGTCCTCCGACTGCACTCTTGACTCCAGCTTCGCCATATTGATCATACAAAGCTCTCTTTTTATCATCTGATAACACCTGACAGTGTTGCACTTCATTGTTCAAAAGACAACATGATGAATGAAATTGAACACGGTAATGTACACAAAGAAACCTCTAGGAAAGAAATTCTGCAGCACTTCCAGCACCACAAATTGAAATGTTATTAACAGAGAAAGGAATAAAATATAAAACAATCATTTTAACCAACATTATAAATATCAAGACCTATACGCAACCATATGATAAACAAGAGAAGTTGTCACTTAGTATTTCAAAGCAGTAAAAATATGAAAGCTGCACTCACAGTCCTTTCGATCTAAATGGCTTATGCTAATCAACATTAATGCATCTTGGTCTAAAACTTTTTGTGCATACCTCATATGCAGCACTAATCTCCTTGAATTTTTCAGTTGCTCCTGGCTCCTTATTGACATCGGGATGATACTTCAAATGAAGATGAAAATTTACAATGTCAGGATAACAATGAGAAATCAAACAAAAGTTTAAAAAAAAATACACAATTCATAACTATTTCCAGTGTTAGTAGTGTCAGGATGATTTATCTATTCAGGTTATTCTTTAATAGGGGACCCTTCACTGGCAGACAAACTTTCAGATGCTAAAGAGTTGAATAGACCTGTGGTTTGCTGGAGTCCTCCTCCAATAGATTTTTTAAGATGAATGTGGATGGAGCTGTTAGTAGTGTCAGGATGACTGCTGGAATTGGGGGTATTCTTAGAGATTGGAATAGGACAGTGCTGCCTTCTTTTTCAGAAAATATTGGTCCTAGTCCTATCCATAGTCACATGGATCACGGTACGCTCGGTACGGGAACGTGGAATGGGATCGCAATTCGCTAGGTCCCTAAAATTCGGTACGAGGGGGGGTAGACTTCTTTCGGATCGCTCCGGTACGATGTACCAGTTTCTTAGATAGAGATCAATTATGCATGGCTCCTTTAGGAACAAAATAATTCAAAACTCAAAATCTAATATGCATAAATCCGATTTAAGGACTAAAATAAATTGAATCAAAAATGAGCATGGCTCTTTTAGGAATAAACCCACGCGAACAAAAATGGACCACCCTGGACCCCAATTAAACGTCAGTGTTTAACCAAACTATCTAAAGCCTTTAAAATTTAACCTAAAAATAGATCATAATTTATGCTAAACCTAATCCCTTCCCCCTGCGCCGTTTTGAACCTCTTCTCTTCTTCATCCTCTACTCCTCACACCCGCATGGCCGAAAGTCTTCACAGCCCCAGACCCAAGCAACTTCGAACCCTCTTCTCTTCCATCACCTGAGAAGGAAACCCAAAAGGCTTCGATCATCAGCCCCGACGAGGAGCTGTTTTGAAACGGTTTCCCCTCTCCCTCTTATTCTCCTCTGATTTTTTCTCTCAAACCCCCAATCCCTTTATTTTTCTGATTGCATCTCCTCTTATCCCTGCTGCAAAACTACGATGTACCGAATCGCGATTTTGAAACGATCCGAACGCGTTCGTACCGCGTTTTGGATCGCAACGTTCAATACGTAGATCGTGGCCAAATGAGCGATTTATGTAACTATGGTCCTATCTTCATAGCAGAGCTGAAAGCTATCAAAAAAGGAATAGACACCTTTCTATCCTCAGATTGGGTTTCAAAGGGTAGACTCATTGTGGAAAGTGATTGTAAATTAGTTGTCGACTGGATTAAAGATCAAGCCAGTGTTCCTACTTTTCTTTCAGATTTTGTTAGAGAATTAGTGTGTGTTTGGTTGGGGGAATGTGAGATTCCCATGGGAATGGAATCCACATTCTCCCGTTTGGTTGATCGGGAATGTCATTCCCGGTAATCTTACATTACCAATAGTATATTTTTTTTTGTATATTACCGGGAATGTCATTACCTCCCTTTCCTTAGGTATTGTTGGATTACCGGCATTTTGGACTAAAATGCCTTTAAATTTTTTTTTCTTACAAAAATATCTTTATTCTATCATTGAATAATAAAAATTCTACGAAGGTTAAATTACAAATTTATCCTTAAACTATTTTAGATTTACAAAAAAGTCTATAATTTAAATTTTATATGAAGTTCAGGGGTAAAATAAAACTTGTTAAAAAAACAAATATATAATAAGGACAATTTGGTTAAATATACATTCCAATAATCTTTTATTCATTTAACCAAACACGGTAATCTTACATTCCTGCTAAACCAACCAAACACAAAATACAACATTCTCAGTAATCCTATTCCCTAGTAATCTTTCATTCCCTAGTAATCTTCTATTCCCACTGGTAATCTTACATTCCGTGAACCAAACGCACCCTTAGTGTCTTTGGTTGTTGTGTATGAGATTATTGTGAGGTGGATTCCGAGGAGTTGTAATTGCGAGGCTGATTTTCTAGCAAAGGAGGGCATTGGGTGATAGTTTTCCTTGTATTATTCAGCTGAGGTGTTTTATAGTAAGGCTATAGAGGAGTGTGCTTAAGTTTTATGTAATTGGCAGGAGTGTTCAAAGTCTTATGTAATTTTCTATTAATCAATATATTGTGACACTCTTTTCCTCCTTCGGCTTGTTGGTTCTTACCTTATGGTATAGGACCTATAAGAGGGAGGTTTCTAATGAGGCTACCTATTCCTATAAAAAAAATAACTATTTCCAGTGTCAATATAAACTTCGTATCTTCATATTTATATGAGAGCACATTTACAACAAGAAAGAATGGAATTGAACTGGAAAACATCTAGGGAGAATACCACTTTGCCTACTCAGAAGGGTTATTTTCTAGGGGAAGGAAATAGCCTGATTGAATCAAGCCATATCTGGAAGTTCAAAGCATAAGAAAACACCAGCTCGTGAAGTAAACACCAGCTAGTGAAGTACAAATTGAATCATTTATATTCTAATCATAGGTATTTTTCCATTGATAATATGATTGGAAACTGTTACATACTAGTGAACTAGGATTATTTATGAGAAAGCAAAACATTTAAGACAGCTTTTCCTGGTGCAGCCATAGAAGCTTAAAGTTCTCTATTCATTTATGTACAAAATTGGCTGGCTATCAGCTACTTGGGAAATACAGGCCGACTGCAATCAAATTAAACACAAATAAACTTTCCACATAAAAAATAATGCTGAGCGTCTCATACTGAAACAGAGCATCAACTGAATGATCCAGTATATGTTATAGTTTAATCAGTCAAAAAATGAAGATAAGGTTTGTGTAAAAATGATATACTTAAATCAGATCAAAGAAGACCCATTTTTATTTATTTTTCAAGATTGAGAACCCTAAAACTAAAAATTACATAATCTTATTAACATTTTCCTTTTACTACATTTTGTAAATTGTGAGGCCTAAAATCTACCCACCAAACATTCCTTCATATTCACCAACTCCAAAAGTCAATACTTGAGACTTGAGCTCTCAGTCAGAAATTATGGTTCTGCTGCGAACAAATCTCTCTTTATCATAACTCAAAACCTAAGAAAAGAGCTTTTCCTCCTCTTATGCAAGATACCCATCTCCTTGGGCTACCCTTAAATATTTCAACCAGAAAACATACCAGCAACAAAACCCAGAAAGGAAAGGCAAAACTAACAAACAACCTTCTAAAATATGGAAGGAAAAAAAGAAATCAACTATTGAACTGAGTGAAGTACCTGACGAGCTAATCTACGATAGGCGGCCTTAATATCTTTATCAGAAGCAGATTTGGGCACTCCAAGAGTAGCATAATAATCCCCAGAAGCAGCCACTACCAGCGTCCCAAAACGGTGAGTACCAGCCTTACCATTATTCAATCTCCAAGAACATGCCGAAGAAGAAGAAGGGAAACTCACACAAGCGAAGCTGTCGTGGGACCTGAGACGGGCCACACCATTGAAGAAAACAGAAGAAGAACAAGAATAAGAAGACGATTGAGAAGTGTTGGAATGGCTTTCATTTGGGAAACCAAGTGATGAAGGCAGCACAGATAGGGAAGTAGTGGCTGCCATTTAAGGAAAAAAAGTTTCTAAGTAGTTTTTAGAAAAGGGTGTTCAATAAAATTGATCTCTCAACAAGACAATTACTTGGGTTTGATCTTGTAATTCGTGTTTGATTGTTGAGCCACAGTTTCAGTGGAAACTGCAAAAGGAGGGAAGGAAAGGAGAGGAGAGCATAGCCAGAAAGATTGGATTTTGTTTGTTTGTTTTTGTACATGGACTGAACGAACACGTTTTTCAATACTGCCCACCATTTTTTTTTCTTTCTTTCTTTTTTTTTTTGCAATTTCTTTTCTTTTCCTTTTTCCTTCTTTTTGGGTTGTCTAAACTACACCACAAGTTATTCTATTATAAATAATTTTATAATTGACTAGCTTTATTTTGAAAAATTACGATCAAATTTTAAATGGGTAACTGGACCTCTAATAGGCTCATATGGTCCACCTATTTAACCTACTGATCTAAGATTAGGGTAGATTAATCCTGATGATCTTAAATCTCACACCAATCGTTAAAGGGTCATCTTAGTAGCCCATCAGACAACCTGAAAGATGGATGATTTCTTTTAAATTTTTTCATCTTCTTCCTAAAATAATCTCCTGTCTCAAATAATCTTTCTCATCCTATCTCTCATAGAAAATCATTGATTGCGGCTCTCTAAAAACTACAAGTTCTCTGTCACTCGAGACCTCTAGATATATTACTTTGATTATCGAAAATTCAAAGGAATTCATTTCCTCATGGCGTAGGAGTATCATATCTTCCAAGTTAGTTACAGTGCATATACTAGACCTTTAATATGCTCACGGGATCAATCAGAGCGAAAATCTAAAATTTGACAACTATATCTATTTAGTAGTGATTTATGAGTAGTCATGATGACTCTAGACTTGACAATAATCATCAAAGGGTCATCATACATCATTAGGAGAAGGTCTCTCACAATTTTTTTCATCTTCTACTTATAATAATATTCTTTATCATCCTGTCTCTCATAAAAAAAATCATCGGTTGTGGCTCTTCGCCTAAATTAGAAGAAGTAAACCGTCAACGATTGACAAAATCTATTTATTCATATAAATAATATTTTAATTGAAATATTATCTTAGATGCTTAAATTTATTATTAAAATCTGAGTTCATCGTAAGAATAAACGTTTTAGATAGTTAAATTAAACATCCATTAAAATATTTAAAGCCACTATTTAAATTTAAAATAATTATTTGATAAATTTTACTAAAATTTTTAGAATAGTAAAGAAAAATTTTATATTTTCATTGTGAAAAAATAAATTAAGCAAAAAAGAATCTTCTTTGTCAACTAAGTTATACTTGTGCCATATCAATTATTTCTAATATTTTGAACCAAAAAAAAAATAATGAAAGAGATTGATCAGCTTGGATTTCCAAAATTGTAAAAGTTTGTTGATGACAAAGATAAGTTAAATTTGAATTTTATGAATTTGATCATTCGTTTTAAATAATTGCTTAATTAGTACAAGGAATAATTTCAATATTTGTTTGTATTAAATTTTAATAATTTCAACATATAGTTAATATAAATATTATAAATGACAAGATTTCCCGCAGAAAAAACGTACAAGTTAATGACTCAAAACACTTCCAATTGGCCAATAAGAAGCAACAGATTACAAGGTTTATCATTTGAGAATTGAACAGCCAATGTTAATTCTGAGCTGAACAATGTCTTCATTTGCGTAAATATTTAAGAATTTAGCCATTTTAGTAACTCTCACAGATCACCAAAATAGATTCATTCTGCACATTTCTCTCATTATATACTCTGTAAAAAGAACATTAAAAGAAGGTATATTTCTCAGTGAAACCAATGACATACACAAACAAACACCGACCGACAGTATACGGATTTAGGCATTCAAAGGGCAAACCGGGTTGATGGAAAGCACACGAGCTCAGTTCAACATACTGTGCAGGCAACTTCTCCAACGCTTGGGAGATTTCAGATTCTTATGCCCACCCGCCCATACCATGAAGTGAGACACTGAAGCAAACAGGAGGCAACTTTACAAGAATGACTTGGGAAAATTGCTCTATCATGTATGAAGTTTAGCTGCAGGAAACAAACATCAACCTCCGTAAAACGAGTGTGATTCTTTATGGATGCATTTGTACAATTAACAAGAGTCATAGTAATGGGAATTCATTAATTTGTTGTTAAAATTGCTCACCGGGAAACAAATGAAACGCACAACTACCAAATTAATAGAGCCCTAACATTCTTAGCTCTGTCACATGGCTGGGGTCTAGTTCCGGGGTGTTCTTGTTGTCCTCCCGGTCTTCAACCACATATTCCTGACATCATCATCATCATCAGGGAATGTGATATGCTAAACATTTTCTGCTTTGACACAAATAAACAAATCTAGACAATATATTAAAATCTTGGATTGATCGGATAGAAAGGCCAAAAAAAATGAAACAGAACACAATGAATACCGTCATAAAATACTATATTCTCAATTGTTAATAGAAACCAGAACTTTAGTTTTGAATCAGAATATCTAAGGTGTAAAATTGAAACCATATCAAAGCAAACACAAAAACTAGGGTTTTTCCATCTATTTTTTAGGACATACCTTAGTTAATTCCTGTTTCGCAAGAACATGATAATGCCGTTCATTGATCCTCTGACCACATATGATAGCAATGAAGAAACCATAGAGCAAACCCACCAAAACAATTGCTAAAACTGCACATGAAGTTGGTAAACTCAGCATGCTGACCAGTAGTGTAATCTTGTAGCATGTCATAAGGATCAGCATCCTTCCTTTATAGAACTACGATAGGGTATTGGAACAAAGACATTACAGACGCAACTACCCACAGGTTTAGAAAATACCACACTATTTTTTCTTTATTTGTTGCCTTCTAGTTTAATCTATAAAGGATTTCCTCACACCTTAAAGAGAAGTTCTGCCATAATAAATTTCTCATCATTTTATCAAAGCATCCTTCACCCTTTCCAAGAAAAACACAACATTCATTCAAGCAACAAAATCAGTTACCCTGAAGTTTCATACAATTTCTTAAGGCTTAAACAGATGGGGAATATTTTCTGAGCTATGATTCCAATTGGTCTAGTTGTAATAGTAATCTTGATTATTGAATAAAGATTAAAGGTACATGATGAAAGTGTGAAAACAAGGGAGAAAAAATGCTTTCTTTGTTGAAACTTGAGATTTACAACAAATTATTTTGGCTGGAAATTGAGATAGTGAGTTTCCCACTGCAAACGTTTATTTACAATGGATTTAAATAAATCTCATTTAACTTTAATTCTTAATTTGACAATGGAGTAAAGCATCTTAATTTGTTGTATATTTGAACCAGTAATTAAAGAGAGGTGACAAAAAAATAGGAGAGAAATGAAGTTTTGAAGCAGCATAATCCCTAAAAAGTTGTAATTGTATAACCATCATGCTGCAAAATCTACTGTGCAAACATGTATGATGTACACAGTGGCAAAAAATAAAGCATCATAAACACTGCATGGAAAATTCAAAGAGTACGAAAATTTGCATTTCAAGCAGTTTCTATAAATCCAACAAAGGATTAGAAAGGACAACTAAGCACAGAGCTTGTAAGACTGAATGTGTGTGTAACATCCTCCATGTCGGGTTGGTGATTAATTTGTAAAGTTTCAGCATTTGGTGATTTAAGTAGAATGATGGAAGAGTTTAATGACTTATTTGAGTTATTTTGTGTAGGATTGAATTATAAAGAAGGAATATTAGAATGACAAAATGGTCTTTTTATAGCAATATAATTTTGGGGTTAGTATTATATTAACCACGTGGATGTATAGGAAATTAAAACAAGCTTCCAGAGTCATCTTCTTCTTTCTTCTTCTTCATACGTGAGACCCAAGCTAAGGTAAGATTTTCTTGTTAGTGAATTTCTTGATGAATTTATGGTTGATTCATGACCATTAGGCAATAGTTAAGCTTAAAGGAAGTTTAAATTGTTTTAAAACCTCAAGAGGAGAAGTATATGAAGAATTAAAGAAAGGAAGTAGAAAAGTGAAATCTTAGATTAGAGTTCATAATAAGAATTGGAAGTGAGATTTGACTTGTCATCAAGTTAATTAAGGGATATGAAGTGTTAGAATTGGAAATAGAACACCTTGAAAATTTAGTGTGATTCTTGAATGCCATGTAAATGATGGAATTTTGGATTTAAAGAAGTGATTATGGAATAGAAATGAGTTTAAATATGTGTATGGAAGTTAGGAATATTAAAGGAAGTAAAATATGAAGGTTTAAGCTGAAATGAAGTGAATTTCGAGCTCAAAATATGATTTCTGGGCTAGGGGAATCGATACCCATTCAAGGGGAATCGATACCCCCTCAAACGAATATGAATTTCCAGAACGCTAAGGGGGAATCGATACCCCCAGGGGGGAACCGATTCCCCCATAATAAAAAAAAGAGAAAAGAAAGAAGAAACTAAACTATCAATTTCTTAAATTGGTAGGCTATTAGAGGTTAATTTCAAGACTTACGCATCTGATAATCATCTTGAAAATTTTGCTTATGTAGATATTGAGCCTAATCGATTCCGGAACCATCGACAAGTAGGATCAATCGAGGGAAAAACAAAGAAATCTAGGTGAGTGCATATGCATAGCATGAATATGTATTTTATTCAGTTCTAGACTTGTGATAAGTCTAGATTCAATATTTTGATACATGATCGTAGTTCATATTATGATATATGACATGAATCCATATCATATGCATTATGGGACATGAATATGAAAGAAAAAGTTATATGAGTTATATGATAAAGGTATGAAAATAATATGTCTACGTGATATGAATTAGATAAATTGTGAAAGCCCATGTTATGTAAATGAGAACTATAGGTATAGTTGGCATGCTAAGGGTAGAGGGTCTATGTGGTCCTTCGGGACATATATGTATTCTTTGGAACATGTGTGAGGTCTGGTGAGACACATACTTGATCCTTGGTATATGTATATGATTCTTAAGGAATAATATGTGGTCCTTCGGGACATATATGTATTCTTTGGAACATGTGTGAAGTCTGGTGAGACACATACTTGATCCTTGGTATATGTATATAATTCTTAAGGAATGATATGTGGTCCTTCGGGACATATATGTATTCTTTGGAACATGTGTGAAGTCTAGT